TGTGGCCTGGCCGTGTGCATGTGGGTGCGGGCAGGCTTGCAGGGCTGTGGCCACCTCCAAAATTTGCCCTAGCCCCCACTCCCTCCAGCACTGCCAATGCCCACACACAGTGCAGTCCCCTCTCCTGAGGCAGCCGCTCCCCCTGCAGCCAGTCCCGGCTCTGGGCAGCTGCTGCCAGCCATGGAGCTCAGGCTGCCTGCAGCATCCCTGCTACCTGCTGGGAGCAGCCTGAGCCCAGTGGCTGGCAGCAGCTGCCCAGAGCCCAGCCAGGCCATGGCAGGCTGAGCAAAATGGCTTCACGTGCCATGCTGTAGCCCACCTGCCGAGGGCTGCCGCCCCTGCTCTGCACCTACCTGCTTCTGCAGGACACAAACCCACCCTGTGAGACTTGGCACAGAATCAGCAGCTACGAAGTCCCCAAGGGGGACGTTAGTGGAGCAGATGGGTCCTGCCATGTTAGCGTTGATGCTGCAGAGCTGCTGTTCCCCTGCCCCTGCCTCCTGCCCTCTCTCCCCCCTCCTCCCTCCCAACAAGCTATTACCCATTTTCTGCTAGTTTCCTGGTTCATATGGATAATGACCTTTTTCTCTTGGCTAAGTGGTTGTTGTGGTGTAAAATGTGGTTGTTAGGGGTGTGAAGATGGGCCTGTTGGGAACTGACTAGAAGATCGTTGCTGTAGAGACCACTCCTCAAAAGCAGCTGCTCAGAGCCCAGCTCAGAGAGCACAGAGAAGGGGCAGCATGGGCACAAGGCAGGTGGACCTGGCCATCGTGGCTCAAGACAGAGAGTCAAAGATGGGCTTTGTTTCACTTGCCCTTGTAGACAAGCTGTAGCCATATTGGCCTACAGGCAAAAGGAATCAGAACTGGCAGCAGAGGTGATATTCCCCTTAATGCCCTTGGATTCATTCCCCCTAGTTCCTGGCCCCAGGCTGCTGAGGCAGGAGCCTCATGCAGCTAGCTAGTTCATGAGAGGTGAAAGATCTGCAAGGGTTTTCTATTGCTCCACAATCAGGTTCCATGTTGTTGTTTTCATTCATTGGATGCCTGTATTGATTGAACCTGATGATTATTACAGTACAAAGGAAAACTAGAAATTAGGAGAAAGCAGTTAGAAAACAGTCATATTTAATTTTTCCCGAGAGGAAAACAAATTTGAATGAAATACATTTTCATTCCATAAATATCATTAGCAGCAAACCCTCCCATTGCTACCACCACCGCACGTGGTCAAGGTTCACAGCACAGCCACGCGTATTGATACATACTGTAAACACTACGCGCTCATTTGCGAGTCTCTTGTTCACTCTAAAAGCCAAGTCAATCCCATGAAACTGAGACCAGGTACGTGTTAGGATCACTCCCAGCCCTCTTGTCCAGTTAACCAGGAGCTAAGAGGAAATACTGTTTTTCTGAAAGCCAATTTTTGGTTTCCTCCACATTGTCTGTGGTCAGGTAATTGTTTTGTCCACAATGAGCATCGATTTCACTGCTTTTTGTTTTTCTTTTTAAACCAAAGCATTAAATTTGTATCTTTAGGACTGTGGTTCTCAACCTCATTTGACAAGACCTCTCTGAAAACTAAGAGCTGGCATTTCTGATTCATTTCTTAACTATGGAAAAATTAACAGAACAATTCTTCTGTTGCAAAGAACTCAGACAGACCACAAAAGGTTATGATGCTTTTAACATTATGGATTCCTATTTGAGATCCTTGGGTTCATCTTGTGAATCACATTTGCACACCTAACTGCACACAGTGCCTGGCACCCTAAGTCACCCTTGACAGGATTTCAAGGCAAACCAGAATACCAACAGCCTCAGTTGAGAATCACCGCTCCAGAAGGAAACCTGAGCATGAATTCTCTGTGCTATGCTCTATCTGTGCCTGAGAGAGAAGACAAACCCAACCACTGAGTTAAAAAGTGAAAAAAATACACACTGAGGCTGCATCCAGACAAGCACAGCCAGGCAGTATGGAGCACCGCAAGCACATCTTGTAAGCACCACATATTGCATTCAGGTGTTCTCTGCGCTGCAAGGAAGCACTGCCCATGTGTGCAGTGCGCTGCCTTTTTCCTTGCGGGTTTTTTTGACCCTTGTATGTCCAGGGGTCAAAAAAACCAAAACAAAAAAACCAAACCAAAACAAACAAACAAAAAAAACCTGCAGAGAAAAAAAAACAGAGCAGTCCACACATGGGCAGCCCGCGCCACTCAAAAGTGGAGCGGGGCCACCCAGAGCTGTGCTGCAGCTACCAGCCAGGCTCCAGGTGGCAGAATTGCCATTGCTGCAGCCCTGGGAGGCCCCAGGACCTCAGGTAAGGCTGCTGTCCCAGCTTCCCGTACTGCCCCTGGGGTAAATTGCCATGCACCAAAATGTACATGGCACAGGCATTCCCTAAGGACAAGTAGCAGTGGCGCAAGGTGCGGACGTGGCTTGAGTGACATGACCATTTTTTTCCTTTCTAAACACTTGCCACACTTTCATGGCTTTGGCAGTTCAAGACTGTTGGCTCATACATCCCCACAATAACCAAATCACTTGGCTGGTCAGCTATTCTTTTGCCCAAAGAATCAAGCAAGGTGACTTCCTTCCTGGCAGCGTACCAGCAGAGTATGAGCTTCAGTCAGCACAGAAGTCAGAGTGCACACTGTGTATGTTTAGGATCTTGAAGCAGATTTCCATAGTAGAAATGGTTCATTGTCAATAGATAGGCGTACCATCCACTCTCAACAGATAAGCATACCGTCTATTCTCAATCAGAGTTCAATGTTTTGGCCACAGAGATTAATATATCAGGGAAATAGATTCATTTGCTAACTTGGTAGTTGGGGAGAGGGGAGTAACTTTTCCTCCCAAAATTTTACATCCAAGCAGTTTTCCCTCCCTTTCCTCACTTGTGTCCAGAAAGCGAGTCATTTGTTGAATACACTCCGCGGTTAATCCTACAGTCTTCAGTCCTCACAGAGTCTATTAGTTCTTCTTCCTCTGAATCCTCCTCTTCCTCCTCCTCTGGGGCAGAGAGACTGGATGTGGGACCTTTACAGATTTTTAGGTGGCGAGTGAGGTGATATTTGGTTAGGTAAGCCTTGGAGCACTTTTCACAGACATAGTCCCTCTTTCCTTCATGTGAGTTGAGATGCTTCTTCAAGTGATTTGTCCTCAGGAACAGCTTGTCGCATTTAGGACACTTGATTTGCCGTTCTCTGCAAAAGATAAAAAAAAGTCACACATTACTCATCACGCAAAGCAGATGCTGCTGACAGGTCTGTTCAGGCGATCTGGGAACTGGTTTACTTTTTCTTTATATATTTAATCACTGTTTCAAGGCATTTTCCATTTTACAGGGAATAATTCAGAAATGATTTCACATGTCCAGCACTAGGCAGAAAGATCCTTGTACAGGATTTACAAGCTATCGCATCTGTACAAATACTCTATTCTATGCCTCACAGAACTCAGTAGATCACTTGTCATGCTAGCAATTAATTTAGTAGAGTCAAAAAGCTCTTTCCCAAACAAAAATCCCTGTCAACGCAATCCTAGGGTAGAACTCCTCAGCCAGAACTGTTTACTTTATCAAATGGCTTTGGAGCAGGGATTTGAACTGGGGATGTTACTGGACGCATCTACACACAGTGATTTAAGGTGCATTAGCCATTTTTAAGGTGCATTAAGGACAGGGGTCTACACGTGTGCACCCTTAATGCATCTTAAAAATGGCAATTTTAGGCTAATCATGCCTAAATTTAATACCTGCATAAGGCAAGTATCAAATTCAGGTACAATAGTTAAGGTGCTTTAAAGCACATGTAGACACTGGAAGGCACCTTAACGCTATGTGACTGAGCAGGCGGGAACCAAGCCTCTGAGGCCCTGCGCTGCCTCTTTTTCTTTGCAGCAGGATGGGGCCCCGCAGGCTCAGCTGAGGCAGCAGGAATATGGGGACAGGGTTAGGGCCGGGGCCAGGGCTCAGGTGATTGCATCCGGGGGGACTGGAGGCTCCCACCCGCTACGCCAGTGCTCTGCACTGCCGGGATTCACGGCAGAGGGCTTCTGGGGGCTGTCCAGGGTGCTGACCAGGGCAGGCTGCCCAGAAAGTCGCGTTAGGTCAAGGCGCATTAAGTTTAGGAGTGTGTAAATTCACATGTAGACATACCCACTTTGGTGTCAGGTCTCCAAGAAAAAAAACAAATTCGCTCTGAAAATGTCTCAGTTTGCAAAAGCCCAACAGAGACTTAAATTTAGAAGGTAATTATTTTTATTTCATTCAGATTCTTCCTGCACTGAAAATGCTGCAGTCAGGTGCAAAAGGAGCTGAGCAGGTATTTCCTTGCCCTGCACCTGATGCTCCCAGCTACTATGGTGCTGGGCACCAGAACAAAGGGCAGGGTAAGTATCTCTCCTATAGTATCAATACCCTCCCCATCCCTCCAGTATCTCTCAGGCAGGACCAGAGGAAGGGTCAGGTAGAGAGCTTAGATTTGGAAAAGAAGACTGGGAGGAAGGTCAAGTGGGGCTGTAAGCAGAGGGAGACAGGCTAGATGACAGAACCAGGGAGGGGAGGAAAGAAAACAGACAGCTGGACTGGCTGGACAAGAATTGTGAAAGCGAATGGGAAACTGAGATCAGACAAGAAGCCTGAGGTGGAGACTGAGAGCGTTGAGCAACGCACTTGTGTTGGAGGGCTGGGGAAGATTAGACCAAGGAGCTTAAATTGGGGTGTAAGACTGCAAATTAGGAATCCAAGTTGCAGAGCTCCTAATTTGCAGTCTTACACCCCAATTTAAGAGCCCAATTTGCAGGGGTGGAGACTGGGACTAACTAAACCAAGAGATGGGGATGAGGCGCTGGTGAGTAAGACTATCAGGGAGCCTGTAATTTCTGTCTTGATTCCAGATGCTCACACTAGAACTCAGGTTTCAGCTTGGCGAGGTACAGACATTCAAACAGCTGGAGGTGGCAGAATTGATCCCAGTTACACAGATCTCTGTATGTGGCGTAGTTTAGATTGGTACCAAACAAAATACACAAGCCCTTGATGGCTGGGGAGCTTAGACGGGGTTCCAACATTTTTAAACCAGTCTATGTCCATCAAACTTCTATTGTTACAGGTATAGACTGGTTTCCGATCACTTATACTGATAAAAGTGTAATAACTGTAGAATGCTATTACACAACACAACCAAGATAACTTGGGTGCCCTCTCTAGGAAGCAAAGGAAGCCTGGCAAATTCTCTGAAGGTTTACCGAATAGTTTTCCTTCCACAATACTTCATCAACAGATGTCAACAACACGGCCCTTTTAGAGCTGATCACCATTTAGTCTCACCTAGTTACTTTAGTCCACACTCCTGGGGGTTTTCAGATACAGAAGTCTCTGTACCATTATTTGGCTGTTGTTTATTCCACACACAGTCCTAATATTTCAGGTGGTCAGTCCCTACAACCAAGATCACTTACTGCGTGTGGGTGAGCACATGCTGCTTGAGGTCCTGCCTCCGCATGAACAGCTTGTCACAGTAATCACACTTGAGGTTTTTCTCTCCAGTGTGGATGACCATGTGGGACTCCAGATGAGCCTTCTGAGTGAAGGATTTGTCACAGAGAGCACAGCGATAATTCTTCTGGCCTGGAATTGCACACACACACACACACACACACACACAGTGACAATGAGGGCTCCCATTAATCACTTGTAGAAAATCTTTCCCTAAAAGAGGGTCCCAGCGAAGCATTTACCTTTTCACTTCTTCCATTCTTTCAAACTTAGCCAGGAGGCCTACTTAAAACAACAGTTTGGACTAGCCATTCAGGAGACCAAAATCTGTCACTCAAGCTCAGTTGTGCATGTACAGCGCTGAGAACTTTGTTGAGAAGCAGTGAGCCCACCTGCTGTGTTCATCCACATGGTCTCTGCAATTGTTATTCATATTCATATAGTTTTTATGGTAGTGCCTATGAGCCAATGAAGAATTGGGACCCCATTGTTTTAGGTGCCATAGGAGGTGCCAGGTTAGGTGAAGTGATTCCAGCGAACAGTTTGTGTAACCAAATATTTACTACACCTTAGGACCCCATCTAGATGGGAGATCCTCTATGTTCTAGGTAAGATCACTGTCAGGAAGCTTTTGGCACTTACCACAAGGCTAAAATGCAAGGTTAAGAATTGGGCACTGAACACCGAGGTATTATCTGGGTACCACTTCCAGCTCGGTTGGAAAGACATACTGGCTCATCAGATCACTTTGGGGAAATCATTTCCTCTCTGTGTGACTCAGTTTTCCTGTCTGTAAAGTGGGAATAATGATGCTTACCACTGGAGATGAGAACTGCATCCAGGATTCTAGATAAAATCTTACCATGACTTTGTACAATATTGTTAATATATCCCTCTTTTTTCTGGGCATACTTTACCCAGTACATTCTAAAAATCACATCTGCCTTTTTAACAGCCACATTGTTTTGGTGGTTGATAGTTATCCTGTGATCAATTAACATATCCAGATCTTTCTCCTCCTGCTTTGAACTAATGAACTTTCACCTTGCAGAGGAACGGGAAGTTACTTACCAGTAACCAGAGTTCTTCAAGATGTCTTGTCCACATTCTCATCATGGGTACATGTGCACCTCAGCACTTGACATAGAAGACTTACAGCCCTGTCAGTATCTACAGGCACACCACAATCCTCCCCTTCTTGCGTTCCAGGCTGAAGGGATAAAGGATGGTGTGTGATCACATACCTGAAGGTGGGCCTCAGAGTTCCCTAGGTAAACATCAGCCAAAGGATCAAACGCAGTATCTGCCCTGGGGCTACTGCAATTGTGTAATTCTTGGTGAAGGTTTGTATGGAGCACGTGGCAGCTTCCCTGCTGATATCAGTTGTAGGCTCTGCTGCAATGTGCTCTGCCTAGAGAAGCTTCTGCCTTGGAGTTCTTGTGACAGTTTAATACCCAGCTGATGTGTGTCCCTTTGGGTCTCTGGGTGGAAGAAACAATAGCCAGAGGCTTTTAGAAAAGCCTAATCCCATGCAAGTACAAGACAAAACTTCTTGCCCATCGAGTGTGTGAAACAACACCTCAGACCTGGAGGAGTGAGGTTGTAGTAAGAATACCAGCAAATACATCTGCTGACTCAGGCAGAAGTCAGCAATCATCTTGGGTAACAACTAGGGTAAGTCTTCAAAAATATTTTATCTGCTCAGAAGGCAGTATATGAAGGACCTTGGTCTCACCCAGTCTCCTAACTGCAAAAATGGCCACTGGAAAAGCTGGTTTCATAGAAAGGTGGAGCAAGGAGTGTGTTACCGTAGATTCAAATACTGAGAGAACTCAGCAGAGGTGAGAGAACCAAATTTGTGCCCCAATGAGGGACATGCTGTCTTTCCAGAGGAAAAACTTTGGTCATTCATTTAAGGAACTGCAGGACTGTGGGAAAGTAAAGTATGTCTGCTTTTGGCTGGAGAATGGAGCTGATGTACTAGTCTACAACATTTAAGATTTAGCAGATATTCCAGCATAGCCAAACTAGAGGAATATCTAGACGGGGGGTTTCTTTCCTGGCACCATCCTGAGTATCTCAATCACTTAGCCAGAAAAGTGTCTACTCAAGTCCTTTCTGCTGTGCAAAAGGATGTCCCTTACTGGGGCTAAGAAGTCCCACTATTTCCAAGAGCCATCAAGCACCCAGGTTATGAAATGGAAGTAGTCAGAGCTGGATCAAGTACTTCCCTTCTGTCCTGGATCACATGGTCTAGGCCCCAAGAAAGAACCCTAGACTCTCATTAATGTCAGCAGAAGGCACTGGTACCAAGATCTTAACTGTACAGGAGCCAGAATGATTCTCAAAGGCCACATCCTGTCTCACACACTGAGGAACAGCCAGTGAAATCAGAAGCATGGATATGAAGGCATAAGGGAGGATTCCTGACCACAGAATAAGACAGGCATTGGGTACAGTCCAGACATGGACAATTCCTGGAGCAGAACTGGCACTTCTCACTGACAGACTTGTTTGTGTTGGACATCTTCACCCAACCCCAGTCTGCAAATGTTGACTGGAGAACAGAATCTTGGACCTCTTACTCATGGTGTAGGACTATGGATTTGCTCAGTTTTCTTTGATTTTCCAGGTATCAATGAAGTGTACCGTTGAGAAGTATATTTGGTGACATATGCACCACTGCCATATGCAACCTACCTCCCTGCATAAAGAGGAGGACGTCACCCCACCCTGTTTATTGATATAGAATATTGCTGCGGTGTTGTCTGTTAGAACCTGCACATGACACCCATCTATGTAGTGTAGAAAACATGTTCTCCACATCACTCTCAACCCTAGCACTTTAATACGGAGTTTCATCTCCTACAGAACCGAGACCTCCTACACCTAGAAGTCACCCATAAGGGCCTCCCATCCTAATAAGGAGGTGTCCAGTAGGGCTGTGCAAAGCTTCAGGTGCTGATTTAATTTGAAGGAGATTTGGCCCGATTCAGCGGCCGAATCTCTGAATCCAAATCAAATCAGGAGACCAATAAAAAGGTCCGAATCAATTCAAAGCTCTCCAAATCAACTCAGAAAAGAGTCAGAGAGCTTTGGAGATTCGGGCAGTCCCCACTTACAGCTGCACGGAGCTGGACCTGGACTCCATACCGGTAAGTAGGGGATAGGGGTGTGGAGGAGGGGGGACAGGACCATAGGAGGTCCCATCCCCTGCCTGCTCTCCCAGCCCCCCTGAGCGCCCTCCATCAATGGCCTGGCCCCAGCGTCCCAGCTCTTTAAAAAAAAAGACATGCACTCACCGGCTCCTGCCAGGTGGGGGTCAATCCCCACTGCCTCCCACTGCCCTGCACTGTGTGGGGGGCTCTTCCATGAGCCTGCATCCCCCGTTCACTCTCCCAGGACTGTCGATAGCTGCTCCACCCACCCTAACTCCCAGTTCTTTAAAAAAGAAAAAAAAACAGAAAAAGAAAAAAAAGGCCTGCACTTACTGGCTGCTGCAGCAGCCTTCAGGGCTTCTGGGAACCCATGGCAGAGCCCCCCACGCAGCGCAGGGAAGTGGAGTGCAGCAGGGATCACCCCCTGTCTAGCAGGAGCCGGTGAGTGTGAGGTTTTTTTTTTTGTTTTTAAAGGACCAATGCTGGGGCCGGGAGGGGCAGCCATGGTGGGGGCTGGGAGAGCGGGCGGCAGATGGGGGCTCATGGCAGAGCCCACTATGCAGAGTGGGGCAGTGGGGGGGGCAGCAGGGATCCCGCCCCCCGCCCCCCCCTGCACCTGGTAGCAGTCAGTGAAGGAGGTGTTTTTAATTTTTTTTTAATTTTTTTTTAAGCGCCAGAATGCTAGGACCAGGTGAGGCAGCCATTGATGGGGCTGGGAGAGCAGGTGGGGGATGGGGTCTGTTTGATTCAGAGATTCAGCCGATTCGGTGGTGGCTGAATCTCCAAATCAGATTTGTCCAAATCAATTCAGGACAATGATTCGAATCACTGAATCAAAATCACCGTCTCCCGAATTGTCTGAATCCGAAGTGAATACTAGCCGCTTCGCACAGGCCTAGTGTCCAGCATGATCATTACATATGTGCACAGGAAAAAGTAGTATTTTGTTGCACATACCAAAGTCCTTCCTCTAACTGAGGGAAGACTGAACCACCAGGGGAATTGGCACCCTCATGGACGTATCACAATAAAAAACATCTTTAACATCAAGTGCTATGGAACATACATACCCATGATGAGGATATTCATATGGACAATCACTCAAAAAGGAGACATTCATTACTAGTCTTAATGTCGATTGCACTGCACTCTGCATCTTTAAAAGTCACTGTATTTTTCTTCACTCCAGTCCTCAAAGTCCACCAGTTTTTTATGTATGAGATTCTGATCCTCTTCTGTATAGACAATGCCTCCAAATTTTGTGCCATCAAATAAATTTAAGGAGGGGGGGAATCTGTTAGCATACTCCTACTTTTTTGTGCCAATGGCATTAATAAAACAGAATGAGATCAGAGCCAAGACTATTCTTTGAGGAACTCTACTAGTAATCTCCCTCCAGCCTTGTATTTCTCCTTTCAAAATAACTCACTGTTCTCCTCCTCTCTCCCCCATTTCAGGCACCATATCAAATACCCTACTGAAGTCTAGATAGGGTAACTCTACTATATTTACTTTGTCAATGAAATAAGTTTTTCCTGATCAACGAAAGATATTGGGTTAGTCTAGCACAATCTACCTTTAGTAAACTGATATTGCATTCTATCTCACTTTCCATTTAGATCTGCATCTTATTTATTCTTTCCTTCAGAATTTCTTCTATAGCCTTACTGCTGAAGTCAGACAAACTTGCCTATATCTGTTCAGATTTCTGCCCCCTACCTATTAAACATATTTACTGTATTTGCTACTCTCCACTCATATGACACTACTCCCAATTGATGGATTTGTAACACACTTTGCTACTGGACCTACAATTTAACAAATGCTGGAATGGAGATTATCCAGTCTTTTTGCCTTGAATGCACTGAGCTTTTGGAGTTTTTCTTCTAGGTCAAATGAGGTATTTTCCATTTGATTTCATCTCAGACTCTGTGATCAACATCCTCTTTACTGAAAACTAAGACAAAAATATCAATTTATTTTGGGGCTATACATAGATCATCTCTCTCACTGGAACAGGTGTCCCATTTCTTACCTAGTTCTCTTTTCATTTATGGGCTGAAGAACCTCTTTTTATCTATTTTAATTTCCTTTGCAAGGTTTAACTCAGTTTGGTTTATGGTAACTCTCCCTTGTTCTTGCAGTCTCAAACATCAACTTAGATCTCAACTGCTGCCATACCGATATTGACAATCTGTTTAGTGTTAACCTTCCTGCCTGAGGAATGAGACAGATGGATAAATTATCTGTGTACCCTTAAGACAGACTCCTCAGACAACATACTTAATATGATGCGCACTGATAGAAAACAGTTGCCATCTAATAACAATACAGAAGTTTACAGGGAAACGAGTAGCTGGTTTTAGTGTAGTTCCTACTAGATAGGTGTCCACATCATGAACCCCTGACATAATTAGCACCCAGATTAGCTGTCTCAGCATATGAAGTCATGAACTAAATAGATTTGGTGACTATTACTCTCATCTCTTGGTCCTCAATTAGTCAGGCACTCAGGTACTATAAGTAGTAGATAGACAGTTCTTCCAGGTTAAAGCTGAGGCACACAGAGGAAGCAGCTGTAGTAAGTTTGCACTGCTGCTGTCTATAGTGGCATTTTTCCATGAACAGACAAAGGATTCCTATGTCCAGGAATAGTACTGATAATCTGGCACCTTTTACCAGCAATGAATTTATTTCATAAAATGTTCTTTGAAACATCATCTAAAAATTCATCTACTTTACCTGTGTGTATCTTGAGGTGAGTCCGGAGGTTGCTAGGATCACTGAAAGCTTTGCTACAGAAATCACATTTGTGTGGCTTCATGCCCATGTGTCCCATGAAATGGACATGAAGTTTGGAAGGGGAGATGAAAGCTTGGGGGCACATGGAACACTTCCACTTCCTTTCCTTACTGTGGCTTGTCCCATGACTGCTGCTGTGTCCCTGGCTGGAGAGGTGGTTATGGATGTGGCTGCTCAAATGGGTCTTGAACTCTGTGTAGGAAGTGCATTCCTTTCCACAGTGACACACATGCACGTCTGGATGTTCAGGGACACCTTTAACACAAAAACACTTCTATTAGACACACCATTCCTTCAGACACTCAAAATATTTACTGACTTATTTTAACATGGCTATACACCTACCTCTACCCCTCTGATATTACACATAATCAAGGATATCAACACATTACAGTGCTATGGTACCTGTACTTTCTTGAAACATCAGGATTGCTCAATTCGCATTCCAGGATGGACTAACTGTACTTCAGCTGAAGCAACAATTTCATCACAGGTCTAGGATACTAAATCTTATTACTGATTCAGTTACTGACTTGCTAGACTACCTTGGGCAAATTTGTGTTGTTGCTTCCCTGTCTGTAAATGGTAATACTTATACTTACGCACCTCTGTAAAGTAAGTGCAATCCGCAGGTGGAAATGCCCTACATAGTGCTATTCAGTAACAGTACAAGGATTGAGTCAAATTCCAGCAGATCTTACTTGATTCTTAATTTCAATGGGAGTTTTGCCTCAATAAGGATTAAATAAAGTCTGGATAAGAATTTTGGAATTTTCTCTCTTGCTATGATCATCAATCAAAAGTATAGCCAGCAGCCACATTCTTGTAAATCTAAAAGAACAAATGGTAGTCAGTTTAAGGTCTCCTTTTGTGCTTGAGTCCTCCAAACCAAAACTGCAAGGCAGACCCAGAAATCCCTTCTTGTTACTAATCAGTGTGGGCACAGATGTGATTCTCAGTTAGGGCATGGAGATGAATGAGGGAAAGCTTGTATCACATCTGGTGCCATACCACTGTCTGTCTGTATAACAGCATTCACTGAAAGCTCTAGGCACTGTGACTGCAAAGTACATCATTATTTATTATGTGGAAATTTTTCTGTGAAGAAAACTACTGTGGGATCTCTTATGACCAGGCAGATCTTCAGACTCTTACACATTTTGCTATCGGCTTTTTGCTATTAGAAGCCCTAAGCAACAGATAACTGAAAAGATATATATCTTCTACTGAAACCTTCTCATCATGATCAGAAAAAAAATAAAGGCTTATTATAGAACAATATAACTATGTTATCTACACCCAACTAATTGTAATTTATAGGAAAACTGTGGCACTCATCACTAAGTTGTGACACAGAACAAAAGAAAATCCCAGTTCAGAAGCACCACAAAAAGGGACTTTGAACTAAACTTTTTCAGCAAAGGCAAGTAAGTGTGCCTTCTTTCTTACCAATCTGTCGAGCATAATCCCGGCTGTAATAAAAAAGCAGCTCATGTTCAGGAGGGATGTCCCGTGATGTGCAAAAATAGATTTTTCCATCATGTGGATAAGCTACCAGATTCTGCTCTTCCCGGTTTCTACATCAACAAAGGAGAGTTAAAAAAGAAATCATAATTGTCATGTTGCAAACAAAACAGGGAGAATTCCCATTTGTATTTTAAAAACAATTCTGCTCATCTGTCATTTCATTATTTCTTTCATTCTTGACTACTAGGGATGATGACATAAAAAGAGAATCTCTTTCTTGAGAGTTCTTCTATTCTTACTGCTTAGTGTTCTATGAAGTCACAAAGCATTGTGACAATTTAACTGTGTTCTGAGGAAGTAACTGACATAATAAATAGCAGATTATGGGTAATAAATTGAAAACCTCTAAAGAACAAATATCTTTTTTCATGCTTTTGCCCCAAAGAAAAAGAAAGAAAAAAAATACATAATGCACAGTAATAGCAAAACCATCTCCAGATATAGACAGAACTTGCTTAAGTTTCCTGGAATGTGATCGTTTATATTAAAAACAATGAAAACAGAGCCCTTTACTGGCCTGGCAGGGAATGGCAGAGGATGAACACTGTACCACATCTCCTGAAGACCTGAGGCCAGTAGCAGTTTCTTGATTCCTACTTGTTAAGACTAACCGTGTAAATGGCAGCAGGCCCATCTAGTATCCCAGATTAACGGAGACAATTCTGCTTTGTTCCTACCAGCCCATTCATGGAGCAATTTTAAAGTGAGACTATTTTCCTTGCAGACTCCCCAACAGACAGAAAGGTACAACTGGGTGTCAGTGCAAGTTAGGAGAAGAGCAGTGAATCCAAGAACAGAGAGATGGGCTTTTTGTCTGCTGGTCCATTTTGATTTGGGACACATTACCAATAAGGGTATAATGTGAAGGGGCAGGTAAATACCATCTTTATTAACTACATAGAAGATGTCAGGGAGAGAGGAGGTGGCAAAAGGCCATTGACTGGTACATCCCGAGACTGGGGGGGGGCCACAATTTGTGGGTGGTAGCATCGGTGTTGTGGCAAGCGGTGACTGCCTGCAGAAGCCAGCAGCGGCATTGGCAGGAGGGGGGAGGGCAGGAGGTTGCGAGTGGTGAGTGGCAACTGTCTGCAGAAGCCAGCAGCGGGGGTGGGGGTGCGCACGAACAGCGACTGCCCACAGAAGCCGGCAGTCAATCTTGGGGGGGGGGGGCATTTGCCCCCCCTACAAGTTGCCTATGCAAAAGGTTGCCACTTTCACTACAAAAAGCAAACTAAAACAAGGGTTTAAACAACTAGATCAGGGGCAGGCAATTATTTTGGCTGGAGGGTCACTTAATGAGTTTTGGTGAGCTGTCGAGGGCTGCAAGAGTAGCCCTGCCCCTTGGCAGGTACTCCGCCTCCTAGTTGCTATCTTGGGACCCGAAATCCCACCCCTACGCCCTGATCTTTGTCACCAGAGGTCCCTCCTCTTGCCCCTGGAAGTATTCCTTTTGGGAGGGGGGGCCTTGTCATCTGAACCAGGAAAAACAAACAAATCATATACTAAATATACTAAAAGTCAAATATCTACTATAACATATTCTAATTTTATTACAAAATTTTTTTGTCATGATTTGCGTTTGTGTACTGTATATTGAGGTGACTGAGTAATAGGTCAAAAATAAAATCTTACTCTTGTATTTTGTATGTGGGGGTGTATTGTAGGGTGTAGGGTTTGTGAGGGTGTGTGGCTGTGTGCGAGGGGCATGTAGGGCATGTTGTGGGGTGTATGTATATGTGTGGGGTTGTGGTGCAGGGTGTGGGTTTGTGGGGTGTGAGGGAGGATCGGGGGCTGCGGGGACCCTCCCCCTACAACAGTGCACAGCTCCTGCCACTAGCTGCAGCAGTAAGCAGGGTCCCTCAGGGCAAATGTACCCTACACAAGCCGCAGGGGGAAAGCCCCACATGATGGAGCTGGCTGCCACCACGGAAGCAGACAACAGGGCTCCCCACCACTTCTGGCAGAGTCCTGGCAGCTGCATGGGGCAGGGAAGGCAGCTGGTTCCATCATTCAGGGCTTCCCCTGGTGGCACGTGCATGCTGGGAACTGCATGTGCGCCGCAGGGAACCCTGCACGATAGATGCAGGTCTGCCTGGCTCTGTGTGCTTTCTGGGTGGGAGCAAAGCATGCAGGCTGGGTGGGGTACAATTAATTGGTGGCTGCCCATGGGCCGGATGAAATTGCCTGGCAGGCTGGATCCGGTCCTTCGGCCATATTTTGCTTGCCCCACTAGATTCAAGTAAATGTTTTGGAGTGGTCCATTGCCACTTAGCTTGTACCGTTTCTACCTTCAAATCTCTTCCCAACCCCATTGCCTTAGCATTTCTTTTTCCCAGTTACAGGTCCAGCTGCCTAGAAATTTCTCAAATGTTCATGTAGTGCCATTCTTCAAGAAGTCAGTAGGGTAGCCCCTGCAGTGGCCTACACATTCACTCCTCACAATTTCCCCTCAGTCTACAGGCAGAAAGACATCAGTCTCACATGGACAGTACCACAGGTTTCAATTCAACTCAGCTGGGGTAAAGATGGCTCTTACCTGGCTTTACGTACAAACATCATCCAGTTACATTCATTTTCATCAGTTGTAATGACACAGAACTCCAGGACGCCATTGTGGTACATCTGACAGAAAAGACAAAACACGTAGCATCGAGATAAACAATGCAAGTGATTTTGGTCAAAGACCAATGCTTTTCTTTAGAGAGGAAATGCTTACCTAGACTGAACAGGGAGCTTTCCTAGCAAGAGATCTCCTTCCACACACCTATTATGTGACTTCTTTGACCAATTCCCTTAACTCTGCTTAGCACAAAAATTCTGACCCCCTACTACAACCTGAGGACCAACACAACTGACACCCCAATCCCTCTTCCGAAAGCTTTTAATTTATTGAATCGCTTTCCCACTCATGCATCGCCTTTCAGCTTCTGACAGAAATACTTTCAGCTGCTGTTCTTACAGTCCAAGCTTATCTCTTTCCAAACATCTACACCAGTGGTTCTCAGCCTTTTTTGTACCAGGACCTATTTGTAAAGATCAATGGCCAGTCCTGCCCCACAGCCCCCTGGCCCTGCCTGTGTCCATCACTCCCGACCCACAGTCCCTGGGCCATGCTGGTACCCCTAACTGCCAACCCCCTTCCCCCCCCCACCTCCCAAGCCTTGCCAGAGAGGGCCCCCAGCTGCCCTCATTGCTCAGGCCAGAGTGGTGGCTGCAGCAGCTTCGGCTCATGTGGGCAGCAGCAGAGCATGTCCGGCCCCAGTATTGGCTAGAGGGAGGAGGAGGGGTGGCCTGTGGCACACCCCCCTACCCTGGGCTGAAGCTGCCATGCTGCACCAGGTAGCTTGGTCATAGACTCTCCTGCCCCCCGAGTACCGTCTCCTGGATGCCCCAGCCCTATGCATACAGGCACTGGGTGCTGCTGGCCTGGCCACAAAGCTTCCTGATGCCCCCAAAGGACCCCCTGCCCCACCCCCTTGCCGTGCTGGAGGGGCAGGCACCTTTCCCCACCTACCCCCCACTGCCCTGCTGCAGCCTCAGCACCTGGCTGTCTTTCCCCAGCACTGGAAGGCACCTGCCCCCCCCTCACAAACCCATCTCCTCCACACGCCCCTGACCCACACACACAGCTCTCCTGCAGACAGACAGTCCCCAAGTCCTGGACCTCCAACCTCCGTTCCCCATAGACTTACCTGCATCCAGCTGCTGGGGCTGCTCCCACCACCCTGCCTGACCACATGCTGGCCACGTGCATATGCACGCGCCGACACACGTATGCCTGTTGCCTCCAAACATCCCAAGCAGCTCCTTGCAGCCTGGAAGGCTGCCAGCCTGCAAGGGGAAACCTATGCTTTCCTGCATTTTTCTGAGACTTGCTCAAGACCCTTTCAAATATTCTTGCAACCCACTTTCAGGTCACAACCCACAGATTGAGAAACACTGATCTGCACCATTCAGCTCAGATATTAACTAGTTTATATTTAAATACTTTTTGAAAAATGGTAACTCACAGTGAGGAAACCTCAGTGACAGACACGAACGAACACAATTCATTTTCATCAAGCAACATGGACTTGTGCTGCAAGCCAGACTTGCTACATGTCAGCTGCAACATTTCTGTGGTCGGGACTGCTCACACCTGGTGCTCTGCTCACTTCCCCTCCCCATTCAAGTAAGCTACTGGATGCAGGGCTGGGCCTGTCATGGCAAAGACTCCCTGGGGGGTGGGAGTGCCATTCTGCTTGCCCCACCTGCCTCCCAGATCTACTACTAGGATAGGGGTTGTGCCTGCCTGGCTATTCCTGCCCTCGAAAAAATTCCTGGTGTGGGGAGTGGTTCTGGTGCCCCTTGCATGATGGCAGTAATTACCTTATCACCAAGGATCCAGTTTTTTCCATTTGTGGCCAAAAAACATGGTTTTTCTCCTTTAAAGGAGAAAAAGGCAGGAAAACGTGGGTTTCCCTCTGCAGGCTTGTAGAGTTCCAGCCTGCAAGAGACTGCTTGGGGAAACAGGATGCAGGGGGTGCCATGTGTATGTGCACCCGTGGCGATGCGTAGGAGGTGCATGGGGGTGCACGTGCACCCTGAGAGGGCTGGTGCATTGCCTGCTTAGGTGATGGGCAGGGGGAGCAGGCAGGCGTGCCGGTGTCCCGCCTGCGAGTGCTAGCTGGGGAGTGGGGGCACCAGAAGCACTGCTGGCACTTCTGGGAGCACCACTGGGACTTCTGGGTGGCCCACTTGCCCTTCCAGGTCAGCATGATTGGCTGTGGGGCCCCCGACAGTTGCTGACTGGCCGCTAGGGGGGCATGTGCCCCACCTGACTCAGAAGGCACCAGTCGCCCATGCGTGCACACGCATGTGACCAACAATACAGCCAGGCAGCAGTGGACAGCAGCTCCATCAGATTCTTGCAGGTAAGGCTATGGGTAGCGGGGAGGGGGTATAGGTGATGTGTGGGGGTTGGGGGGAGCAGAGACGATGTGTGTGGGATAGACTGAGGCAGCCACAGTGAGGGAGTGGAGCTGGATTGGTGGTTGGGAGTGCTGCCCAACTGCCTAGGGCTGGAATACACGACGGCAGGGCCCAACTTGGGGAGCAGCACAGAGACACAGGCAGCTTGTCTTGCGGGCTGGCTCCCCACCACTGCATGCACGCCTGGGGAGGGGTCAGGCACCAGAGGCAACGTGTCAGGGGAGAAGGGGGGAGGGACACATGCCCCCCAGATTTGTGCATGGGATGCAGCAGGATGCAGGATGCTCATTGTGAGGCTTGAGGCTCCATGCACTGCTGCCTCCTCCCAGGGGTTCTTCATGGCCCAGCAGAGGGGACCTGGCACAGGAAGGCAATGGGGTGGGGAGGCTTGGTGTTGTTGCTGCTCTTACCACTACTGGGAGCCCTAAGCCAGCCATGCCACCATGGTGAGGTTCCCCTACCATGCCAGGAGCAGCGGGGGTGGCAGTGTGGAGTTGTGCCCTCCACCCCCTGCTGCTGCTGGGTGGGCAGTGGCCACCTCACCATGGCAACGCAGCTCGTGCAGGGCAGCAGTAGTGGCAGTGAGCCTCCCCACCCCACTCCACCCTCCCATGCCAGGTCCTGACTGCTGGGCCACGGAGGCTCCCATGGGGAGGGCAGCAAGGGAAGGAGTCCCGAGTCCTGTAGCCCGCATCTTCCCCTGCCCCCCACAGGCTCTGGTCAGCTCCACTCCTGCCATGCCACCTACAGGGGGGGAAAGTGGGGGAACTGGGCTCCATACTCCACCTACAGCAGCTGCTGGGTTCCACAGCCCTGGCAGCTGGGCCCCCCACCTCCCCTCTGGCAGGGCAGGGAGCTGCAGGTCAGAAGTTAGGGGCTGTAAGTTGGGAGTGAAGGGCACCAGTAGGTACAGTGAGTTGCAGGCTGGGAGGCACGGGCACCAGCAGGGCTGGGTAGGCAGGGGGCTGCAAATCAGGAGTGAGGGCATGGGTAGGGCACCGGCATATCGTGGCTGTTCAGAACCACAAAGCAGGGGGGAGGACAGCTGCAGCTGGACTTGTGCCCTGGTAAGTGAAGGTGCATGGGAGCTATGATTTTCCATGATAAAAAAAACCAAAATCAAACACCAAAATATATATGTATTTAGGATTTATTTTATTATAATAACTGAGACACTATGAAGCCCCCTGTGGTTCAGTGGTAAAATCATTGTCTACCACACAGGAGACATGGGTTTGATACCCACATGCTTATACAACTACAGCCACTGAGGCGCCAAACGTCTGGACTTGGTCTAGCCTTTGGATTCTGCCTCAGTGGCCTAAAGTGGGGGATGAAAGGTCTGGGCAACCTCCACTCCTCCATACCACTGCCTAGATATGTGTGTCAAAGTTCAGGGTGACCTCTCATGCATACACCATGATCCAGAAGGATGGATGGCTGCCATCTAAGGCACTGGTAGGCTTCCAAATTGCTTTAAATGTGTAAATAGATCAATAAAACACTGTGTTCAACTGATACCTACATATATAGTGGCACTTCATTTTGATCACAGAAAAATGCAGATTTGTGGGGTTTTAATCAGAGAAATTTGGAGGGTTTTTTTAATCAGAGAATATGGGATTTTTAAACTGAGAAAACCAGGATCCCTGTTTATCACTTCTATAGGGACTCTGACCAACTGTGGTGTAAACAAACCACTACTTCCGTGGCAGTTCAAATGACAACGCAGTGTTCAAAACCACAAGAATGTTGGAAGCCACAAGGCCATACGTTATCTAGCCTAGCTGTTGACTGAAGCATGTTCTGTTACATGTCAGGCCCAACTGGTAGTATATACCTCACGTAATATCAGCTGGCATCTGTGGCCTGGCATAGGACCTACTGTATAGTAGATTTAAAAAAAATAGTCAATATAGTCCTCATTTTTGGGTGGAGGAGGAAGAAGATTGAATCCATGTCCTGGATAAAACTACCACACTAGCAACTTTGACAATAGCACAGGACTTGGGGAAACATATACTAACCTTCCATATATGATTGGTTGCCTTATCTGTCCAATCTGCTACTTCCATAGAATGACTTTGCTGCCCAATCAGTGGTCCAAAGCAAGTCCTCACGGGAATGGTTTCTCGAGTCCACACACCTGTCAGCAAAAAAATCAAAATCTGTATGAACAGTTACGCAAACAACCAATAAAAGTACAGCAGAAAGGTGTGGTGTTTGACAAATAATGCTCCGAGGGTTACATCTGAGCATTAGACTATAAAAGCCTCTCTTCCACAAATCAAACACAATTACTGCAGGAACAAGAATGGCCATCCTCACAGGACACTAGTAGAAGCCTAACTGCAACAACTACTTTGTTGCAATTATAGTACTTGTTTTGGCTTTCAAATGCAAGTCACTTACTTTCAGGTAAGCTGTAGGACTAAGGTCCTGCCTACTTCTATCCATTAAAATTTCCAAAACGCTTTCTGCAGAAGCAGAATTCTAATCATTCTAATTTCAGTAACTACATTTTGCCTACCTAATCCCCAGGAATTTCCAGAATTGTTGCTGGGCATTGTTAAGCAGCTTCTGTATTTCTCCCCAGAGGCAGCTGTATTTCTGTCATGGGCAGAGGAATTCCTGCATGCATATTATTTATTATTAAACACTTACATTTATAGGTCCAAACCAATATACTGAATAGCTTTCAAGAATAAAGTGAAAATTAGTGCAGCTCACATAGAACAGGAGTAATCTGCTCCTGACAGGATGCATCTCTAAGCGAACTAGCAATCACATTCTCTTCTAACTGAAGTTTCCATATAACTTTAAGCCCCTTGTTTTAATGTGTTGCACTCTCCAGATAACAAAGGCAAGATTTATAGTAATGAAGTCCATTTTAAATGGAATGGTCACAACCTAGATGCAGAACAGGTGGGAAAAATGGGTCTTGAACAGTTCTGCTTCCAGAAGATAACCAAACCTGCAAACCTAGCTAGCAAATGGTAGATCAACTTCACTTCCTCTATATCTTTCGATTGTTTCCCAACATCCTACAACAGTCTTCAATGAATGTCTTACGTAACTTAACTGTTACTCACTTTAGGCTTATCAAGTTCCAACAGCCAGATGCTGGGAAAGTTACTTAACTGCTCTATCTGAATTTGATTAAATGGAGACTTGAATATGGTTCTGTCCACAAAAGAAGAGTTCAAGCAGGGTGATGACTAGCAACATTGCCCATATCAAGAGATAAAATGTCATATTATCATCTGATGTAAATTGGCGTGGCTTTCCTGACTTCGGCATACCTTTGGAGATTTACACTGCCTATGGATTTGGTTTTATTTAAGGAGTCATCTAATGCCAACGTCTTTCAGAAATACTTGCTCTTTGCTCTTCCAAACACTGACAACCCCCCTCAAAACAGAAAAATACTACCTCAAACGAGAAGCCTTAAGTTATTTTTATGTATATTTCAGTTACTATGGCTGTGTAAAACTTTCAGCATTGAAAGTAGAATATGTTTTGCCTAGAAAGGATTAATATATGCCTTATTTATAACTGTATACTTACAACTCCCAAGATAAACACGCCTCCTATTCTAAGATCTGTCTAAACTAGGCTTTGAAAATATATTGTTGGAAGAGACTAGTAAACATAGCTGGAAAGGACAGTGTAATGTATGCAAAGGAAGAAGAGTTAAGGGCATATTCACACATCTCCTTCCAATCCCAGGTCCACCGCTGACAAAATAAGCTGCTTGTGGGTAGGTACGCTATAAGCCAACAACTAGCAACGGAAAGAGTTCAGGGCAGCCTGATAATGCCTATGGAAGGGCCCTCAAGTGTTCTCTTAGCCTCTCACAAGTCACCTACACCTCCTATCACCTATGCTGTCCCAAATGGAGCCAAGTAGCAGTGAGTGGAGGGGCTTTTTTTTTATTTCCAGCAGAGACCTCAGGGTCAGGAGAGAAGCCATATAAACATGACTACAAAGACCTCACTCCTATCCTCCTTTCCTCACTCCTATCATGCTTCAACTCAACATCTTAACACATGATAACACGCACACAGTCTTACCTACATAACACATGCATTACTGCCAAGCATGTTCACCCCACCTTTACATCCCAGTTTAAACAAAATCTAAAAGATGACCACAAAACAAGATGTTTAATTTAAGCTATCCTGGTGACTTCTGGAGAAACATTTTTGGAGCTACCTTAATGTGCAAAATCGTTCTCCATAGTATCTTGGCTGTGCTAAGATCACAGAAGTCTGGTTGGTTTTGTATGGCTTTGTAGAGATGCACAGTAACCGGATGCTTACCAACTTCAGCTCCCATGATAGACTGCCGTAGAACGAGCTGTTTTGGGAGGGAAAGCCTTGCTCGGCTCTCTATTGGGGTGTCAGGAACAAAGGTAACAGGACCATGATCTGGGCAGTCTGATGGGTACGCCTTGTCACACAGTGTGCACCCTGTTGGTGGGGGAAAAGGACAGCACAGACCAGTGAGATATCATGTACCACCTAGAAATCTCCAGATATCACCTAGATATCACAGTACCACTAGGAAGTCTCAGGTGAAACCAGGGTTCCTTTGCACTCTGCCCTCTACAAATATATTTTAAGATACTTTTCCTGCCAAAGATCCTACAATTTAATTAGATAAGACAAAACAATGAGGAAGGAAGAAACTAGCATGATATCTTCTTTATAGATGATGAATGAAGGCAATTAAAAGTAAGCACTTTACAGAACGTCACCTAGGAATTCTGTAACAAGGTGGAAAGGAAGAAACTCCTATCCCAACATGACCCCACAGGTAGCTTCTAACTAGTTATCTCATCAACTTAACTGGATTTTAAACTAAGTAAGATTAATATGATGTTACAGTCAAGAAGGGAGAATTATATAAGAGTGGCCCCATCACACCCAGCCCAGGTCTGGTCCTGAGATGCCTCTGTCTACTCAACTAACTTAACAAGTTTTTCTAAATGTATTTTACAGTGACAATACAGCAATAGGAAAGGGACTGACAGCCTATTCTTTTGTATCCCCCATTAGCATTAAGAGGACAGAGTTCTGACAGCAGCATCCTTGTAACTAGTACTCATGTATATGGATTTCATTTCAGATTACAAATAGAGTTGGCTTTGCTGCTGGTTATTAAAAAACCCCACCTCTTAAACTTGTTTCTTATTAGATTGGCTGAATTTACACAGAAATTGCTTATATGCATAGAATTTTATTTTTTGGTCAAGGGAGACCAAGTCTCCATGACTCTCCCATTTCATTCTCCCCTTGCTATTTACTTCTCTTTTAAGGTCTTGGAGCACAAATAATTTCACTCAAACAGAAAAACTTGAAACTCCCATTGAAGAATTTATTAGAAAAACTTTAAACTGTACGAATGATAATGTGCGTCCAAAAACACTCAAAGTAAATTCTGATATGTATTACTCCATCAAAATGTTATGGAATTCTACTGAAAATTAACTCATTGAATGGCAGCATTGGAACTGGATGGGAATAAATTAGAGAGAAGCCCTAGATCAGATTATTTTATACTGCACTCGATTATCAGAACTAAAGCTGCCACCTCTATTTCATTATAAGCAAAGCTGACAATCCTCATTCAGCGAGGCTCTTTAATCCCTTATCTCTCCACCTGTGAAGCTGAAATCTTGAAGAAAAAGAAGGTAATTCTAATGGCAGATCTAGAGAGATCTTAAAGTGAACAGGCTGTGGCAGTAGTGTAAGGGGGAGCACCAGCCCTAAGTGCTGACCTTTGAGGTGGGAAGACAAAAAGAACAGTGGTTGCTTTTCTGGCACTGCCCCAAATGTGGCTCCTGCCCAGGGCACCCAAGTGCCCAGTTACATCACTGGGCTATGGGCCAAATCGTAAGCAGTGCCCCCACAAACAGTCGCATTTATTTCTTTGGGCTTAACTGTAGTGGAAGGCACAATTCAGTGGGGTAGATCCTCAACTAGTGTACAGTGTCATGGTTCTAGTGAAGTCAATGGGGAGAGGGAATTGCTCCCAATGGCAGTACTGGTATGAAAAGCTGGACCCATCTGAATTACCATATTATTTACTACACAATTCTAAACACATTGGTTGCTGAGCAGATAAGTTAGTATTAAAACAGATTATTGTGCAAGAATGACACTCAGGTCTAAAGCAGAAGTAGTAATAGGGACCCTGCAACAACTTAAATAGATCTGACAGGAGTGAAGATTAAAACAAAAAAAAAAGAAAAAAAAGGAGCGTTTGCTTTAGAATCACAGTGTTTATGGTTTTTTGTAATTGAACAATCGCATCTTGAAACAGAACAGGTGAGAAATGCTACTGCCCACTCTGCATCTGAACATCTGCACTTCTGCCTGGAGATGCTGCTCTCCCATAGCTCTCACAGCCAGTGCATGTAGGTGGTTGGGTGGGTAAAGTGGAAAGGGGAATCAAGCTCTAACTGAATTGTTGTTTCCTCCTGGCTTTTATATACCTGCCCACAAATTATTGTATTTGGAAGTGAAAATGTGTACGTTTTGCTTGGGAAAGTTTTTTTGTACAAGGACAAAGATCCTGGCTGGGAGCACAACAATATTATGTCATGGACCATAAAGACTACAACAATTGGGGAAAAAAGGTGTAGAGTGGGAATAATCAGATGGACCAAATCCTGGCAGGGATGGAAGAGTAACCAACTCACCGCAGAAGTTCAGAAGAGACATCACAAAATTGGTCAAGCCATTTATTTTTTAAAAGATGTCTGTGTGCTCGGCAACAGAGGGCAGCATGCATTTCTCAATAAGGGTATCAACCTATTTTCATAAGAAAATTAAAATTTTCCTCATGTATGAAACCCATCAGATTGAAGTTAATACTTTTACTGTAGGGAAGGACAACTAAAAAAACCCACTGGTGTTTGGCCATGATTTGTATATTCAAATGGAAGAATTCTCAGTTCCTTTCCTTCCTCTTTTCAGTATTTTCTGTTAAGTGCCATATTTGTATTTTTCATATGGTTTAATAAGACCTTTACAAAACCAATCTACTTTATAATATGTATACACACACACACGTGGTATAATTACATCTTTTTTGGTAAAGAAGTTCACCAAATACAGTTCTCTTTAAAATAAGAAATCCACAAAAGCCCAAAAGTTTGTAAGTAATTAAGCATCCAATCTCCAGGCAGCACAGGAAGTTGGGTAGTGAATGATGTTAAACTGATGTCCCATCATGCCTAGGTATTGGAAGTTTAATCCTCAATTTAGACACTCCAACTTTTGTGGATTTAATCCTATGGCTTTAACAGATTGTCCCAACCAGAAATCTATACAGCTGGCTGCAAGACAGTCTCCATATCACACCTTTCTGTAGTTGAACTATACATGTTACCCCAGAGCAGAAGTGACCACACCAACACACTCACATATGGTAAACAAGGTAGCCATATTCTCTTTGTTTGAATTGGAGTCTTCCATTTGCAGCGATGATGGTACAAAGGCGAGATTGTCTGAAGACACATCCACATGGCTTGGTCCCATGGCTACTTCCTGGTTTATGGAAGACACTGCCACGGGCTCGAGACTGAGGCCCACTTCATGCAAGGAGACAGAGTCCAGGGAAGCTAGGTTGTGTGAGGTAGAGAGTGCCACGCTCACAGAGTTGGTGCTCATGGCCACGGTATGAATAGAGTCACTTAGTGTGCTGTCTGATATTGCGCTTACCCGTCCGGCAATGTGGTCAGGCTCCATGACAACAGGAAGCTCCAAAGTGCTACCATGCATTGGTATGACACCACTATGTCCTACTGCATCTGAAGCCAGGTTGTTACCCACTGTGTCTACAGTTAATGCTTCATGATTCCTGGAGCCATTTGGGATTTGAGAATGATCCCCAGCTACATCATCCATTGTCAGCTCCTCAGCCATGCCATCAGTAGAGATTGGGCTGGTTACCCTTGAAACGCTCTCCATGGTTATTGTAGTATCCAATGCTACCTCGTGGCTGTCACTAGGATGTAGGCTTTGAACACCATGTGTGTTCACTGTGCGGGAGTCCATGGAGACAATCCCAGGTTCAAGCCCCACAGTTCCAGTGGACTGGTAGGGATCTAGGGCTGAAGGATTATTGGAGACAGATAATGCTGGATTGCTATCAACATTTATAGTGTTGGGGTGGATGTACTGAGGTGGAGGTCTGTCAGCTAAGTAAGATAAGATACCTGGTGGAAGGGAAGAAAAAGGGGGAGGGAGGGGAAGAAAAAGAGAAAGTTTACAGTACTAGTTTTTAAATACTAAAAAAATAAGTTACGGTTACAATGCATTTCAGCACGCTACATTAACGTCAGTGTGCATTAAATCTAATTACTGGTTTCACGTGCCCATGACATTTATTTTCAATTAAAAATACACATTTTAGCCAGTTCTGCAAGTGCAGTTTAAATCTGTAAGATTGTGGTAAATCATCTTTGCTACTTCCCATCCACCAAGCCAAGGACAGACAGATGTAACATTTGTAGCACTGCAAATGCCTTTAAAGTACTCCAGAAGTGAGGAGACAGGCATCACCTGCTGCTGAAGTGCTTCGATTCAGCTCAATCCACCTCAACAATGACCCTGGGTAAATAGGAACAACTTTGAAGTGCTTCATTTGCATCCTCCAGCAGAGTGAGACAGAGATTTGGTCAGTATGCTGGCAACCTACAGAAACTCTGTTCCATACCCCCTCGCTACTCCAAAGCAATGCATCTGTGACTGTCTCTGAATTTGACTGCATCAGGGTCAAAGAAGTGTGTAACCATGTACATTTACAACTAGCCTCAAAAGTAGGCCATTCCTACCATTTGCTGACCACCCGTCCAGAAACTCAGCTTTTTGAGTGGAGCAGTCTCAAGAGCCCACTTGGTGCCACACCAACAACCTGTGCCAAGAACATGTGCACGTGCCTCCGTCACATCTGCTAAATGGCTTGAGCACTGGAGGTGGGGAGAAGCCACAGACATTCCTTCCAGCTGGATAAGGAGACCCCTCCCAGTGCTCCCTAAATATGAGTCATTGTAACCAGGCTGTATACAAATGGATAGCAGCTGACATAGCACCTCATGGTTGTAACCACTACTGACATCAGTGTGACACCAAGGGGAAGATATTCGAGGCACCAGACAGGACAGCCTGAGATGCTTGCTGTATATCAGGTGCCCAGTAGGTATCAGAAAGAGCTCTCTTGTATGCTAGCCAAGGGTAACTCCACTAAGACCCACTTCATCACCAATTCTGGGGTGAACTCAGAGCCTTCTGATGACAGTGATGTGGCTTAGCAGGACTGCAAGGAACTTCCATTCCTTACTTGGCTCAGGAACCTCTCCAAGAAGAACCACTTATCTTTCAGTTTGGGACTGCCAAACAAGAGACACCAGCCATCAGGACATAACAGCTTGGCAGCCACTGACAGATCCTGGAGCACCCGCCCTCTCCCCCGACCATCCCCACTGGCCTCAAGCATTCATCCTCTCGGAGCCACCTGGAGGGAATGTTTGCACAGCTGAGCATAGGACCAGTTGGTGAGTAGCAATACACCAACACTGTGACAGCATCATTAGACAACCTGTCCTCTCATCCCCCTTACATAAGGAAGAACTTCTTCTCTGTAAAGGTAACTAGAACTGGGAATACACTCCCAGCAGAGGTGATGCAGTCTCCATCCATGGAGGTGTTCAAGAGGGGGCTGGATAAACACCTCGTTGAGCTAGTCTGAGCTTATTAACCTCCTGCCTATGGCAGGGGACCAGACCTAATGATCTTCCAGATCTCTTTTGGACTACTGATCCTATGATTCCTACCACACATCCACAGCCACCCAAGGGCCAGGATGCACCCACACATGCCAACCTGCAGGCCCATGGTGATGGGTTAGTGAGAGGTGGAGAATTCAAAGCCATTCCGAGGTGGGTTGCTGTGTTAACCTGAGAGGGGAAGGGCAGAGAGAGACCGACAGGTGGTCATGCAGGCACCTTGGGAGCGCAGCTACGTCCTATGCCATGAGGGGAGAGGAGCACAAGCGATCCCCACTGATGCACAGGTATGCCTGTGTGCTCATGCCAATTCCTAAGTTGGTTGCAGCTCTCCCACTGGGCCCCTTCACACGCCATTCATTTGGGCCAGATGGGTGCTAATTTTGCATTTTTGGGAGGCAACAATAGAGAACTCTGTGGAAAGCTGAGCCAGGCCACTAAAGCATAGTTTGGGAATTTACTCACCACTGTCACTTAATTCACATAAGGACAACTTAGCCTCTCTCATCTTTACAGAGGTTTGCATGGCCCATTCCCCAGGGGCGGGTAGGAATAAGTACAGATCTCTCCTCCCTTCCCATTCCCCTTCTACAATCAACAGCTACTCCAACAAGGACTCTGAAAAGTGAACCCCCCATAGGTACCACCCCACTGTCCCTGCCATCATGCTGCATTGGGTGACATTTCTCTTATGGGAGAGGTCAAATCCACCTACCCACCATCATCCTCTGCAGCCCCTCTCTCCTGACATAGGGAATGCCTAGTTGGCAACTAACACAAAGGATACAGTAAAATACAATAAAATTGAAGAACCATCACCCCCTCCTACTTTCACTGCTCTAGGCCACCTGTGGAGACAGGCCTATTCCTCCTTCTCCTCCACTCCTACACCTGCACATGAATCACTAAACCAGGAGGACAGTAAGAAGCCCCTAGCTCTTACTGAGCTAGCAAACCAGCCAACACAGAGTGGTCATATAAAAACCTAGTCCTGTTCCCTGCTCCTGACTCCACTGCTTGACCAGCAGAGCACGGAGCAGTGGAAGGGCAGTGGTAACAAGTAGGAAGAGAGAGATTTGCATTTCTTACAGCACAAAGTAGAATCTGGCAGTCAACCTGCTTGGCCATCTCTCCCTTACTGCTACTAGCTTAAATGTCATGGTTAGTTTATGGGCTGCAGCTCCAGCATGATGGTGTCCTGGCAATAGAAGGAGGGCTCCTGGAGCTTTCCTGACAGTGGATGGCATGCAGCATCGGGGAGTCCAGGCTTGGGCAGGAGGTAGCAAGGCCCATGGGTTCATCTGATTGTAGTCAGTGGTAGAATTTCACAGGGTTAGCAGGGAGACCTCACATAAGTGGTGCACAGGGTCTTCTGCAAGCTGAGACTGGGCCATGGAGCAGCTTTCTCTGCTAGCAACTTCAGCATGTCGCTAGCACTCTGTACAGCTGCTGAGGAACTTGCTGTGCCAGGTACATATCCATGTTTTATTGCTGCCCAGCCATTAGTGGGCAGGTCCTGAAGCTTCCTTTCGAGGTATGAAGTCAGTTCAACACTCACTACAGAAAGGTACCCTCTTTTCAGTGACACTAACTTTGTTGGATCTTCCAAGCAGCAAGGTCCTGGGGCAACCCTTTCATTCATGGGGCCAGAGCTATGCTGCCCAGTCCCCACTAGTGCTGCACCACAGCAAATTATTTTGCCCAGCCCCCAAACAGGGTCACACTAGGGTCAGGTCCCAATCCAAAAATCTATGCCTCCTAGCCCCAAAAATCTGCACACCTAACCCAGTTCAGCGCTTAAAAGAATAGCGCCAACACCTGACCATCCTAATTTCATAGAACACCCACCCAGAGATGCACCTTCAGCCCATGTTCTCATTCCCCTTTCCATGGCCAAACCTTCCCTTTGCCCTCACAGCCACACCAGGAACAGGCCCCATACCTTCCTCCACGAGTATACTCCCAACCCCACCTCACCTACTCTGCTCCCACCCACCAGCCTTTGCTACTGCCAGGACCTGAACCTCTTATCCTCACCTGAGCACCAGCTCAAGACCCCTATCCTCTGGGGAGGATTTGGGGACAGGAGAGCAAGAACAGCTCCTTTCTTCTCATTGTATCTTGGGATTTTTGTCCAGAGCCAGCACGATGGTGTGGAACTCAAGACCCTTCAATCCCTCTGTACAACACAGAAATATGCTGCCTCACCATCCAACACCCAAAGAGCCCCTCCCACTATGGGAAACGCTGAGCACAGCCTAGCAGGACAAGGTCTCTCTCAGTGTGCCTGCTTTTCTCCCTTTCCTTAATCTGGCTAATACATCGCCCCCAATTCACCCCATCTGTGGCTCACAAATCACTCCATTTGGTTTTGGTTTAAAGCACACATTTTAATGTTTGAAGCATTTGTCAATCAGAAGAACTTTTTAATAAGGCAGTATACAAATTGTTCCAGGCTTTGATTGGCTTACAGTATCTTGAAGCCCCGCAACTCTGGATGTAGTTTTTCAGGGCGCCCCCCTCCCAAGAATGCCCTGATGGTTGATGTGTTGTGGGACCCAGCCTTGGGTGCCTGATACTAGCTTGCAAGCTTCTGGGTCTTTGCTGCCTAGACCTGTGAAATGGCATAAGTTAAAATGACCATCCAGGATAGGTAGAGTTTAGTAGCATCTAGGTTTACTCAGAGTGCCCTTCACTGTGCCCAGAAACGCCCAAAGGTGCACTCTAGTCATCCAATAGCTGCTCAGCTAGTATTGAACAGTTCCTTCCTGGGATCCAAGGGCTTAGTTGGGCTTCATGAGCCACAGGAAGTGTGGGTAATGTGCACAGGGGGAAGGGAACAAAGGAAAAAAAAGATCACTTTCTCCAGCTTCACAGAATCATCTAAGTCAGGTCGGAAGGGACCGTGTAGATCTTCAAGTTCAACCCCCGCCTGTGCAGGAGAAAAACTGGGCTCAAATGACTCTAGCCAGGTAGGCATCAAGCCTCTTCTTAAAGACCCCCAGGGTAGGAGCCAGCACCACTTCCCTTGGAAGTTGGTTCCAGATCTTAGCCGCCCTAACTGTGAAGCAGTTCTTGCAGATGTCTAATCTAAACCTACCCTCCAACAACTTGTGGCCATTATTCCTTGTTATACCAGGGGGCGCTAGGGGAAACAAGGTCTCTCCCAAACCCTTCTGGTCCCCCCTAGTGAGTTTACAGACAGTCACCAGGTCCCCCCTCAGCCTTCTCTTGTGAAGGCTGAACAGATTCAGGTCCTGCAGCCTCTCATTGTAGGGTCATGCGGGTGGCCCTCCTCTGGACCCTTTCAATGTTGTCCACAATCCCCCCTGAAGTGGGGCGCACAGAACTGGACACAGTACTCCAGCTGTGGCCTGACCAGTG